CCCCTGCCAGACCAAATTCTGGGCTTACAGCAAACAACCCATTACATACACCGGTGTCTTCCCCGGGCCAGAGGAATTCGGGACTCCTGTTTCAGGAGAGTGCACTATGTTACTGTAAACATCTACCATACAGCAGACAAAGTGTATCATCTTTGCCTAGATTTATTATTATTGATTACAGGTACTCTCCAACCTATGTGTAAGGGTTAAGTTCTACACAACTTTGTTTGCTATCCAAAGGTAGATACTTTATTGATCCCGTGAGGGAAATTGCAGTGCAACACCAGCTTAACACAGTCAACACAGCACAGTGTAATGAAATGCTACAATAATACAATACATACAAAACAATGCATACAATACAATCAGTACAGTCTGTGAGAAGTGCACTAAGAAGAGTTACTCACAGTCCAGAATATACAAAGAACAAACCAGAACAGTACACAAAAACTTGTATTGCACAATATAAATATAAACATAAATGCAGCAAAGAGTTTACTGTTTAGTCCAAAAACAGCTCAATGTTAATGTTGCCCCTGCCCAGACACAAAGTGGATGCGTTGTGCAGTCTTATGGCAGAAGGCAAGAATGACCTCCTGTAGCGCTCCTTGTCACACTGTGGTTGGATCAGCCTATTGCTGAACATGCTCTTCATTTTCACAAGCATGTCATAGAGGGGATGGGAGATGTTGTCCATGATGGCCTCTAGTTTGGACACCATTCTCCTCCCAGCCACTACCTCCAGGGGATCCAGGTCAGACCCAATGACAGATGAGCTTGTTCAGCCTGTTAGCATCCCCTACTCTAATCCCAGGGCCCCAGCATACCACCGCGTAAAAAATCGTGCTCGCCACAACTAACTGATAGAACATATGTACTGTAGCATCCTACTACATGCATTAAAGGACCTGAGCCTCCTCAAGAAGTAAAGTTGGCTCTGTCCCTTCTTGTAGATGGCCTCGTTGATGTGCACTCCCAGGTACTTGTATGAGTCCTCACCACTCCCATGGATGTAGACATGAGTAGGTTGGACCCTTTTCCTCCTGAAATCTATCACCAGCTCCTTCGTCTTTGCCACATTCAATTGCAGGTAGTTCTCCCCACAACACTCCACAAAACTGCTGACCAGTCCTCTATACTCTTCCTCCTGCCCACCCTTGATACATCCCACAATTCCAGAGTCATCTGAGAACTTCTGCAGGTGGCACGACTTTGAATTGAATTTGAAGTCCAAAGTAATAATTGCTCACACTTATATAGCGCTTTTCTGGACACTCCACTCAGTGCTTTACAGGTAATGGGGACTCCCTTCCACCACCACCAATGTCAGCATCCACCTGGATGATGCGACAGCAGCCATAGTGCACAAGTACGCTCACCACACATCAGCTATCAGTGGGGAGGAGAGCAGAGTAATGAATCCAATTCATAAATGGGGATTATTAGGAGGCCATAATTGGTAAAGGCCAATGGGAAATTTGGCCAGGACACCAGAGTTACACCCCTACTCTTTTCGAGAAACGCCCTGGGATTTTTAATGACCATAGAGAGTCAGGACCTTGGTTTTACGTCTCATCTGAAGGACGGCACTATACTGGGGCATTAGGACCCACATGGACTGCAGGGTGAGCACTAACCTGCTGGCCCCACTAACACCTCTTCTAGCAGCGACCTTAGATTTTCCCAGGAGGTCTCCCATCCAGGTACTGACCAGGCTCATATCTGCTTAGTTGCAGTGGGTTGCCAGTTGTGAGCTGCAGAGTGATATGGCTGGTGGCTACAGAGGGTGAAGGGAAACGGAGAAAGAACTGTCTCCTGAGGAGCCCCTGTGTTACCCACTACCTGTTCAGACACACAGTTCTGAAGTCTCACAGATAGTCTGTCTGTCAGATAGTGATCCATGAGATCATGGAGGCACCGGCTTGCATCTCCTCCAGCTTCCTCCCTAGCAGTAAGGGCTGGATAGTATTGAAGGCACTGGAGAAATAGAAAAAATGTAATCCTCACAGTGTTGCCAGTGTGAGTAGGCCCTTTGCAGCATGTAGATGATTGCATCTTCTGCAACAACACTGTGCTGGTAGGCGAACTGTAGGGTGTCCAGTGATGAACTGGCCAGGGATCTCAGGTGGGACAAGACCAGCCTCTCCAGTGTCTTCATGACGTGAGAAGTCAGCGGAACTGGTCTATAGTCATTGAGGACGGAGGGGCACCCTTTCTTTGGAACCGGGACCAGGCATGATGTCTTCCAGAGCACAGGGACTCTCTCCAAGTGCAGGCTCAGGTTGAACAGTTGCTGGAGCACTCTGCTCAGCTGATCAGCACAAGCCCACAAAACTCTGGGACAGACATTATTTGGTCCTGTGGCCTTACTTATGCAAGTTGGAACACACTTTTATATGGAACATTCAATAATGATAATGATTAAGTAGTATTCCTGTACTGTAAAAACACCAAATTACATTGCACAAGTATTATAACACACTATACAGTACTTTAAAGATAAAACTGTAATGTATGCAAAGAGCATTGCAAGAATTATGTAACGCAGAACTACAGATGCAGCAGAAATTATTTCAGGCTATACATAGAAGATACACAATGAGGAAGCACACAGCTTTTATGTGAAGTCAAAGTTATGCTTGTTGTCTGGCTTAGCTGTTAAAGTTGTGGAATTTAAATAAAGAATTCTATGTGTATTTAGATATTTATATAATATATACAGTGCCTTGCGAAAGTATTCGGCCCCCTTGAACTTTTCAACCTTTTGCCACATTTCAGGCTTCAAACATAAA